ATTAATCAGCATCATTCCCAATGATATCTTTCGAACAGTTTTTGATTTTTCAATCGGTTCGGTAGGATGAGCTTAAATGTCGACGAAAATTTAACACTTTTTTTCAACATTTAATTACAAGAAACGGCTCGGTAGATTTTCACCTAAATTATCAGCATCATTCCCAAATGATATTTTCGAACATTTTTTGATTTTTCAAAAAAAATCGGTTCGGTAGGATGACTTAAATGTGGAACAACAAATTTAACAGAACTTTTTTCAACATTTAATTACAAGAAAACGGCTCGGTAGATTTTCATTTTCAACCTAAAATTAATCAGCATCATTCCCAAATGATATCTTTCGAACAGTTTTTGATTTTTCAAAATCGGTTCGGTAGGATGAGCTTAAATGTGGACAAAAATTTAACACTTTTTTTCAACAGTTAATTACAAAAAACGGCTCGGTAGATTTTCACCTAAAATTAATCAGCATCATTCCCAAATGATATCTTTCGAACAGTTTTTTGATTTTTCAAAATCGGTTCGGTAGGATGAGCTTAAATGTGGACAAAATTTAACACTTTTTTTCAACAGTTAATTACAAGAAAACGGCTCGGTAGATTTTCACCTAAAATTAATCAGCATCATTCCCAAATGATATCTTTCGAACAGTTTTTGATTTTTTCAAATCGGTTCGGTAGGATGAGCTTAAATGTGGACAAAAATTTAACACTTTTTTTCAACAGTTAATTACAAGAAAACGGCTCGGTAGATTTTCACCTAAAATTAATCAGCATCATTCCCAACTAATATCTTTCGAACAGTTTTTGATTTTTTAAAATCGGTTCGGTAGGATGAGCTTAAATGTGGACGAAAAGTTCAACACTTTTTTTCAAATTACGAAAGAAACGGCTTGGCAGATCGTTGCACAAAAACTGACAAACGATAGTCCTCACCGAAATACATCAAATGGCTTTTAAATTTCCAAAATCGGTTCAGGCGTTTTTGAGAAAACGTCGATCAAAAGTCTAATTTTGACAAATGCCAAAAAGACCATACTGATTTTTGCAAACTTTGACGAATTTTTAAAGCTGAACCAGTTGTCGTAGGGCCGTAATATTTTAGTATGATCTAGAAGACTATGGTATCTACCGTCAAAAAAATAATCATGAAAATCGTCGAAATTTTTTTTTAAAAACTTTATTACAAGAAAACGGGCCCGGCCGATCTCTACCAAAAACTAATCAGCACGATTCCCAATCAATATCTTTCGAACGGTTTTTGAATTTTCTTAATCGGTTCAGAATTGCGGGCTAAAACGTGCACGAAAATTTTTTCACTTTTCTGCTATTTATAAGAAACGTCTCGGCCGATCGTCCCACAAAACTCGATAGGACAAACGATAGTCCTCGTCGAGATGCATCGAATGGCTTTTAAATTTTTGAAATCGGCCCAGCCGTTTTCGAGAAAACGTCTATTTACGGCAAAAAATCTGTTCACACACACATACACACACACACCCACACACACACACACACACACATACTTTTTCCAATTTGGTCTCATTCTATTCAGAATGGCTTGAAACGTCGAGAAAACATAAAATTAGAGAATCGGATTTTTTGATGAAAACATAAACTTCTCCTTCGGGAAGTTAAAAAATATTTTTTTCTCCTCAAAAGCAATTGTTTTTTGGATCATTCAAATCGGATGCTCCGTTTTCTCAAAACCTCGATTTCTATTTTCTGCACTCTTTGCTCCGTATCTCCGTAACAGCCAGACCTGCCTTTGCCAAAAACTAATCAGCACATCTCCTTATCAATAGCTTTAGAACTTGGTTTAGAATTGATAGGGAGGCCTTAAGGCAAGTTGCTTGAATGTTGCAATAATAGCAAATAATCGACTTAATAAAAAAAAAAGAGAATTAGCTATTCTAATTGAAAATGTTCCCTTAAGGTATAAATAACTAAAATTAGACAATTAGAACTTATTAGCCCAAGCAAACTTTAGTGAATTTTTACAATTTTAATGCTTATTATAGGCCTATAATATTTTAATAAGCTAGCTTGAACTATGAAATCTATTGTCGTATATTTTGCAGTTTTCTGCTAATTATAAAAAAAAAAAAAACGTCTTTGCTGATCGTTGCTCAAAACTTTTCAACTCAAGTCCTCATCAAAATTGCATCGAATGATTTAAATTTTTGAAATAAGCGTCACTGTTTTTGCAAAAACGTCGGCGAAAACTCAAATTTTGTCATCGATACATATTTTTGAAGTCAAACTTTATTAGGCGCGACTAGGATGTAAATCCGTACAAATGCAACGGAAGTGCGTTACGGCTGATAAGAGTCGTTAAGGTAAGAGTCGAGTGCCAGTGATTCGTCATTCGCTCTCGATGATATCACTTTTATACGGGTCGATTGTGATTAGTCGTCGTGTATGTGAATAGAGATCTGTCGTTGCATGCGTAACGACATCAACGTTGTATGCGTACCGATATCAACAACGAAATCGGCATAGATAAATAAACATTTCATAGTTACATCGTAGTACAAATCTTGATTTAATGAAAAATGCCTGAATCAGAAGAATACTTTACCCTGTTCCTTGAAAATAATAAAACAAATTAAACAATTTGGGCCGTGTACTAAACGTAAGTTTATTCATTTGAAATTATTTTTATATTATTCGTAGTTTTTATAAATCTTTAGAGTTATTGAATTGGAAAATATTTTTTAGACAAGACAGATATTACAGCTGTTCAAAGAATGAAACTGTATCGCCAGCGAAAAAGTAAAAAAAATACAATCAGTCACTGAATGTATGTTAATTTCAATAACATGAAGTTCTTGAAGCACAAATATTATATGATGATGAGTGATATTGTGAAAGCAATATTTGTTTAGGCGTCGTTTAACATAATCCCCTGTGTGAACAAATATTATGGAATTTATTAATCAGCAATTACTTCATTTCTCTAATGAAGGTTCAAGTCCTAAATGCTAATTACAATGACAAACCGATTATATCGTATTTGAAGTATGACTTTAATTACATTATTGTTTTCAAATATTATACATATTTTTAATGCTATTATAAATATATAAATTATAATTTACCATTATTTATTATTATATATTATTGTTTTAAATAATTTCAAATAGATTATCTTCTTCTTTTATCGGTTTTCCTTAATGATCAAATTTTTCCTTAATATAAAACAAACAAAAAATTTCTTCATCTTTCTCACGAAACCATCTGGTGGCGAAACGGAGTTTGTCGGGTTTGCTAGTATATATATATATATATATATATATATATATATATATATATATATATTACTATTCGTGCCCTATAAAATCTTATCAGGCCCAAAACACGCGAGGACAAAACCAGAGTCAACTACTAAAAACTAAACTGAACCCATTTTTATAGAAAATTGTCCGCAATTTCATTTTATAATCCATTCACAAAATCCCTTTTCATAAAAACAATATTTTGTAGGGGAAACCGGATTAAAAATACTCCGATAATAGAAAAGGACTCTACTAACGATCAAACAAAACAGAACTAGTGGTGTATCGCATTGTTCCTTAAGGCAAAGTTAAATGTAAATGTAAATATAAATGTAAATATAAATATAAATATAAATTATAAATATAAGTTAAAATATAAATAAAAATATAAATATAAATATACTCCGTACCATAATGAAATATTCGAAAATAAAATTTAGTTAAAAATATTTCTTGAAAATTACAAAAATAAATTAAAAAAATGTTTTTTTCTCAAAATTGTTTCGTCAAAACAAGCAGAAAGTTTTTTGAATCATTCCAATCGGACGCTTAGTTCTCTCAAAGACTGCAATTTTTTACACATTTTTGCCCAATATCTCCAAAACAACTAGACCTGGCTTTACCAAAAACTAATAACCACTTCTCCCAATCATTACAAATTGAATGTTTTTTAGATCATTCAAATCCGATTTGGATCTTCTGCACTCTTTGCTCCGTATCTCTGTAACGGCTGGACTTGCCTTTGCCAAAAACTAATCAACACATCTCCCTATCAATAGGAATCGAAAGGTAAATGAATCATTCGAATCGGTTGATCGGTGCGCCCGAAAACGTCGACAGAAAAAATTGTATCCACATAAACTCACACATCCATTTTTTCTGAGGTATGTCAAAATGTTCAGAAACCTCTGAAACGTGAAGAAATGCAAAAAAAAATATTCTTAATTTTCGGCCCATTACAATAACTTAAATTAAAAAGAACTATACTGAAGAGCAAATTAAATATCTCATTAATTTAAAAAAGATGAAACTTGTAATGAAACCAACAGAAATTCATCTTGAAATGTGAAATACGACTCTACTGAAGATATGAAAAAGGACTGTACTGACGAGCACACGAATTAGCAGCTGAGAACATGAAAAAAATTTACTAAAGACCTTTAGTAGTGACCTGAAATATAAAAAAGGACTCTACTGACAAGCAAATTAAATATCAGACTAAAGTATCAAAAAAGGACTCTACTGACGAGTAAATTGATTACCAGACTGACGAGCAAATTAAATATCAGATTAGACGATAAAGAAATGGCTCTACTGACAAACAAAATAGTAGCATAGGAAATGCAAATGAGACTTTATTATATAGAGCAAAGTAGATTTCTAGTAGAGGTAGAATTCTAGGTAGAGTAGATTTCTAGGTAGAAATTTTCTACCTATATGAAAAAGAAAACTCTACCGATGAACAAAATTAACTTTAAAAAAAGACTAACTACTAACAACCAAATTAAATATAGACCTGAAAGACAAATAGATGATTTTACTATCGAGCAAATTAAATATAAACACGAGGATTCGATGAGCAAACTGAAAATTGACCTAAAGTAATAAATAGGACTCTACTGACGAGTAAACAAAACTGCAAGCTTGGGTATAAAATGAAGAAGAACTGATGAGCAAACTCAAATTTTGTAAAAAAAAAAATTAAAAATGACTTTATTCACAAATAAACAAAATCCCAACTTTAACAGAAAAATCAAATTCAGTATTGGCCTGAAATATAAAAAAGGACTCTACTGACGAGCAAATTGATTATCAGACTAGAAAATAAAGAAAGGACTCTACTGACAAGCAAACAAAATAGAAACCAAGAAATTTTAAAAAAAATCAAGGATAAAAAAATCTTACAATTGATTATAAAAGATTGAACTCTACTGACAAGCAACCTTGGACAGCCTGATGTCAAGCAGCAGTAACAAACACTTACATAATTACGAATTATGATTGGATTCTAGTTGCAAAATTAACCCTTTCGAAATTTATATGAATTTTGCCGCCGGAGCGTCCGAGTGGGAAAGGTTAATACCCGCCTAGGGCAGCCTTATGTCAAGCAGAAGTAACAAATACTAAAACTAATTCATTTGTTTAAATGCACTAATTCAAAAAATTCTGCAGGACGCACCGTTTGTACTACAATTTTGTAATAAAAATATATTAATTCGTGATGAGTCGAGCATAAGAACAAATACTAAAACTAATTTTTTTTAATATATTATACTAGACATAAATGATATTATCAAGATTTGTCCCTCAGTTGTACCAAATGAGTCCATTATCAGGTCCTTGACCACCACTGCATATATTTTTTATCAATGTAGTTTTATAATACGAGATCGCCTTTTACGTTTTTCCGCATTTTTACTCTTCATTTTTATTTACCGATTTTTATTTACGATCTCCGGGGGGTGCTCCACTCTTTGTTTGGCCGATATAATTTTTTTACAGGATGGCAGAAAGGACCTTTTCTTTGTACTCTTCGATGTTCCACAAATTTTATGATAAGTACCTACTGTTGGCGATTTAGGAGAGACTGGGGAAAATAGGTAGGGAATTTGAGATTTTAGCAAATAGTGAATCACCCTGCCACATTATTTCAATTTATATTTTTGGCCAAGAATCCGTTTGATCGCCGGTAGAGTTTATTTTTCCCAGTAATTAATTTTTTCAACATTTCAAGACTAATTTTCTTTCTAATTTTCAGGTTGAAATTTATTTTCTTTTCACCTTCTATTTTGTTTGCTTTATTTTTATTTGCCAGTACAGTTTTATTTTTTCATTTCATTTTGAGACTCAGTTTGCTCGTCAGTAGAGTCCCTTTTTATATTTTAGGTCAATATTAGGGCTCTTTAGTAATTTTTTTTATCTTCTAGACTGATAAATCGTTTGCTCGTCAGTAGAGTCTTTTTTTAATCTTTTAGTCCGATATTTGATTTGCTTGTCAGTAGAGTCCTTTCTTTATTTTTTAGTCAGATGTTTAAATTGCTCGTCAGTAGAGTCCTTTCTTTATATTCTAGTCTGATATTTAGTTTGCTCGTCAGTAGAGTCCTTTTTCTTCAGATTTCTATATTTAGTTTGCTCGTCAGTAGAGTCCTTTATTTATTTTCTAGTCTAATAATCAATTTGCTGGCAGAAAAATTCGAGAAAAAATTGATATATGATTTACATTTATCCCCAGCATCCCCTAGATTCAAAAAACCTCTGATATTTAGTTATGTTTGTTTTTATTATTCTTTGTGTCAAGCATTTTATCATTCAATAAATATTTATACAATATACTATAATCTAAACAAAGTCGAGAACAATAAGCGTTTACTAAGAAAGTACTTGATATCATAAAACTGATATCGCTGCTGATTGATATCAAGATTGAATGGAACCTTTGTTGATGCAAGGCCAAAACTTTTATCACAAAACCACAAACAAGCACAATATATTATAAGTCTGTTGGAAATATATTAATTTAAATCACAGTCTCATTATGATTAGTTTTTTATGAAAAGGGAAAACTTTATTTTAAAAACACTTGACAGTTGACAGTTAAGGTAAATAACTAACTGTCAAATTTTCTTTTTTAAGTCGGATATTTATACACATCGACACTTTTATGCAACTTGTCTTAAGGCCTAATGTCACTTACAACTAGTTTATTTAAAACACCAGTTATTATCTATATGTATACATTAACATTGTTATTCTAGGTTTTTAGTAAAATAAAAATCTTTTTTCCAACACAATTATTAAAATGGTGGACAATATTAATAATATTTGACGTTGAGTGTACATACAATATTTGCGTAAGAGGCGCCAAATTTAAAATTACAAATAAAAACAGGGTAGGGTTTATACAAAAACCGACATTTCAGAAAACCGGTTTTCGAATTTTAATTTTGCCAGAAAACCGGTTTTAACCGGTTTTCGAATTTTATATAGAAAATAAATTTTTGCTCGAATATTTTGTTAATAACAAAAATTTATCCACAAATTTAGTGCGATTTTAGGCAGTATTTGATTGAAATTATTTATTGTTAAATTTTATGGACAGTAAACAAAATTATTTTAATTTTAATTAGTAGATCAAAAAAATCATAGTTTATATGGATTAAATTATTTTGAAAATAATTATTCGTCATTCATGATTTCACATATAAGAATTGTAGCGTGCATATTATTTAAATAATATTATATGATTTAGTTTAGTTTAGTTAAATGTATTGCAGCTATGCTGAGGCTTGCAGCGCTGAGTGTATCTGTTGACAGAAATTAAACACAAACACGCTCGAGTCTCTAGCGCATAGCCTAGTTATAGGAATCCTAGAGGCAAAAATTATTTTAAAGATTCCCATTAGTGCGAGGGAGATTGAATAATTTTTGCCTACGGGGAAAGAGAAAAAAGTAACAGAAATGCTGTGACGAACAAATTCGATTCAATCCCCACCGAAAATCAGGGTGGACATTTTTGTATAAAAGGCACAGCATTCCTGTTAAAAAGTCAGTCAGTTTTTTAGTTTTGATTTTAACGCATTTAATTAAAAGATACAGAAATTTTGACCTGGGTTCGCCGGCATTTCTGATACTAAATTAAATGCAGAAATAATTAATATTAAACTAGTTAGTTTTCCGTTTAGTAGTGAAATACTGAGATTTTGACCTGGGTTCGCCGGCATCTCTGAAATTCGAACTAAACGCGAAAACTATTACTGGAAAAGTTGTAAACTTTAGACAGGGCTCCGAACAACGTTCGCTGACCAAATACAGAAATTTTGACCTGGGTTCGCCGGCATTTCTGACATTGGATTTGAACGTTACCGGTGGATTAATTAATAAAACAACTTAGTCCTGCTAAGCTGTTTTAGATAACTTAATCAACCGTACGAGTTGTTCTTCGTAACAAGATAGGGAGTTGTGTTTTAATGTATAATTAGTGTAATAAGTGACTTTTATTAGTGTCTGTACGAATCCAAAATCTAAAGATAATACATGTTTTATAACTTATAGTGGTTTTCTTTATTGCATAACTGGTGCGAGAGTGAGAATTTAATAAGTTTATAAAATCTAGTGTTATAAACTGGCGCCCAAACGAGCGGGCAGAGCTAAAAAAGACACTGTTATTGAAAAAGACATTAATCCGGACACAATGGAATTCTCAGTTACTGAAGAAATGCTATCACGCGTTTTAAATTGTGCGACGGCTAGAAACGTTCCGCCGGGTAGTTTTTCAAAGTGCGATTACAAATTCGACGGATCTCGCGATGCGCATAAGGCTCAGGAATTCGTAGAAAAAATTGTTATCTACAAGAAATACGAACAAATCCCTGATGAAAGAGCCATCCGCGAGATGCCTTTGCTATTGACAGGTGAGGCAACAGTATGGTGGAAAGGTGTGGAATCGGAAATCCACACCTGGACCGACGTTATCACCAATCTGCAGGAATCATTCGCACCCACACGCCCGGACTACTTAATTTTTTCGGAATTATTCGAGCGTCAGAAGGAGAAAGAGAACGTAGACAAGTTCATAGCGCATAAGCGAGCTTTGTTTGCGGAATTGTCAACGAAGACAGTAGAAAGGACGCAAATTGACATGATATACGGTCTCTTAACCTTAAAATTAAGAAAGTGCGTTGATCGAAGTAGCGTCAACACATTTAACGAACTACTGACAAGGTGTCGAACGGTGCAGCAGAACATACAGGAAGCCACATCGTTGCAAGAAACTATAAAGTGTTCGCACTGCAGAAAATTCGGACACGAAAAAGAAGACTGCAGAAAACTTGTGCAACAAACCCTGCCTCAGAGAAAACCGCTAATTGAAAATCAATTAATTTGCTATGGCTGCGGAGAAAAGGGTTTTGTGCGAAGTAAGTGTCCAAGATGCAACTCGAAACCAAAAATTGAGGATTCACCGTTAGCTTTTTTCGCGTTGGGTGCAAAAACAGATGTTGCAATAAACAAATCAAGATGCACAATCTGTAGGAACCACAAAAGAAAACGGCCGGAAAGCGATGAAACCGACATTTTGTGGATGCATCATCACGCGGACATAGGATTACCTAACGCAGGTACCCGACTGGAAATTGAAGTATGGCGCGGATCAGGGCTGCCCTAAATTAAGTAGGGTCCCAGTGCGGCAACCGTACTTGGCCCCTATGCGATATGTAACGCCTTGCCGGATAAGGTCTGTGTTGGGCAAACTGTTCCGGGCCCTAATCGAAAATATGAAATGGCCCCTATAAAAATATCGAACTTGGCCCTTAACTTAAAATAAGCATATGGCCCTGAAAATAATATGTGATATGGCCCTGAAAAATATATTTGATATGGCCCTGAAAAATATATTTGATGCGGCCCTGAAAATAATATGTGATATGGTCCTGAAAAATATATTTGATATGGCCCTGAAAAATATATTTGATGTGGCCCTGAAAATAATAATTGGCATGGCCCATAAAAAAATGCATATGCTAAATTTTTTTTTATTAATTCTTTTGATAACAATATTTTAATATATAATAACAATAAATAACAAAAGTTAATTAGGTTTTATTGGTCCGCCTATGATCTCTCCCATTCTCCCAATCACGGGGATAATTTATAACCTTCCCGAGGGCTTGGTTAAATGCTTGCTCTTTAATAGGGCTCAACTGCGGATTTTTAATTGATTCAGTTGTCATTATACCTGTAACAAAATGTATAGCCATAAATAATAAAATCATCTATGTGTACTGTGTGAATAATACCTACCATATAAACACTTCACAAGTTCACTGTCTTTAAGACATTAAACACTAAAAAAATAAAAACTAAAAATTAAAATTAAATTATTCGATAATAATAAAAAGAAAAATACACGATAAATTGTTAACAAGATACACTTACTTGAAGCATTGCGCGACTTATTGCCTAAATTTATGTTACATTCCGACAACTGCTGATCGACGTTATTCTGTTAAGCGGTATTGTTTTTTCAGAACATCTTGCCTTCTGTTTATGGTTTCTTCATTGTCCGTAGAAAACGCATATTCCTTTTGTTGCAATATTTTTAACTTTTCCAAGGCAATTTAATATGTATCTGAAATTACAACTCAAATCAAAGATATGTTTATATATATATATATATATATATATATATATATATATATATATATATGTGTGTGTGTGTGTGTGTGTGTATATAACAAAATACACAATACGTAGTTGATCAATAATACTTACTCACGTAATCTCGTACATCCACCTCATGAAGACTCCAATTATCCGATGCTGGTGCCGCCCGACGCTTCACCAAATCTTGAAGAAGAAGTAAATTTTCTCCTGATAGCTCATAATTATTTAAAAATGGGCATTCGAATTTATCTTATCCTTCATTATATATCAACCAATCCACCGGCACTACATCGATACTCTATTTTCACTTGTATCATTGAGAAATAAAACAACACAATACACTACTTTTCCACTGATTATTAAACGATAATTACACGACGTTCTTTTAAAACAAATAAAAATATATCGTAATAATATTTCGTAATTTTCGCACTTCCTATTAAACACATAACGACCGCTTAGCTTGGCATTCAGTAATGAACTAAAAAACTAACAATGGTCCTCTTTGATAGAAGATGAAGTTCTTACATACATGTATTGGTGCCTCGATCGTATTCCATATTATCAATCAATGGTTTATATAATATCATATGCAACGGCGCGATGATGATCTCTTTCTCTGCATTCAATATATACTTTATATATATATATATATATATATATATATATATAAATTTTTATGGGTCGTCGAATAAAAAAATTAATGTACTATTAATTTTTTTACGTAGAACTTCAATATTAGATCTATTTGAACTAATATCAGTATTTCTGTCCACATAAAAAAATTGTTCGAAATAATATTTGACAAAATGTTTGTTGCCTATTCGTATTATATGAGCAATCATAAATGTATATTGTTCACAATCTGCTGTACGCCGGCATCTATAAAGTTAACGTGTGACATAGCGCCGATCTTTCTTACTCTTGCCCACTCTATTTCATTCGATGTTAATGTTTAGCAGTATTTAGAATATGTTAAAATGAAATGTAAAACTTTTGATATTTATTATTGAAGTAAAATTATGTAAATTTATTTCAGTTTTTCTACTTGTCCTATGTCAAGGTCCTATGCTTTAGATAGACCAAGTACGCATAAGAAAAAGGTCATCGATCCTGTTTCTGATTGTTACACTTTCGATACTCGATATGAGTTAATATTCATGTATAGTCTAGACTCTAAAATGAATAAATACGATATATGTGTGCTGGACGAATTTCTAAGAAGGTCCTATATCTTATGCAAACAGTTCACGTACGCAGAATTGATCTTATTATTTCTACTTATTACATTCGATATGATTATATATATATAATTTCAGTGAGGAAACTACTATATTATTAATAAATTGATCATAACTATAGTACATTAATTTTTTTATTCGACGACCCATAAAAATTTTATATATATATATATATATATATATATATATATATATATATATATATATATTATATGTCTCACATGACAAAATCGAAAAATAGTAATATACCTATAACTTCTAATCACAAAAAGTATTATTTTATTAAAAAATTATTTTATTGTATTCGCTATAATTTTAATATCTTGTTATATAATCGATTCAATAATTATTTTTATTGTTAAAAAATTTTATGTAATTTCCTATCTTTCATGATTTTATTAATTTATTAAAAAAAAAACACTTTTTGGTTTTGTATTACCATTGGATTTTTTGTTCAAAGTTGTATAAAGCTTTCGTAAATTCGTATATTATATTTATAATATATTGATAATAATGAATACGGTATCATGCAGATTATGGAAAGAACGAAGAAATATATTGTTACCGATTACATATTGTTATTATTTATTAATAGTTATTTTTTATAATTCATTTATTGTTTATTATTTATTATTTCTTTATTATTAATTATGTAATTTATTTCTATATTTATTTTAGACTATAACGACAATCATTGATCAATAATGCACATTATAATCCTTTTTTTTTACAAAATATTAATAAATCAAACTATTTTGATTCTATTGATATTGAATCCTAGTAGGATTCAAATAAAGAATGCAGATAGGGCTTGTCTAAATAATCTGTGGGTAAGCCGTATTAGGGCTCTAGTAATGAATTTCCAATACGGACCGTATCATCATATCATGGGCAATACGTATTAGGGGTACAATAGGGCATCCGAATATGGCCCGTTTCAATTATTATAGGGCAATCCGTGTTAGGGCTGAATTCAGGCATGCCTTTTATGGACCCTATTCAAATTACCATATTAGGGCCGCCCATATATGGCCCCTATGAGGGCCACGCACTAAATTCCGTAATACGGACGCCGGAGTACAGCCCTATAGGGGCCTATAGGGGCCGGACCTGAGTTAGGGCTTGCCGTAACAAATTTCCACTCGGGTATGTATATCCTTCTGCAATGCAATAATTATTCTCAATGCAACACATAATTCTAATTGCTCATCGTTTATTTTGTTATTAGTATATTGGCAAATAACATAATCGTGACATGGTGTCATTCGTGTCACGAACAACGACGACGACGACGCCATTTCGTGTAGGTGCGACATGTTGATTATAATTGCGACCCATTTTGTTGCTAATTTATTGATTCGCGGAATAGATTAATAGTAGTAGTCAGATATACAATGTATGCATAATTATAATATAGACATATATACATACATATATTTGTTGTATACATACCTTTTTTGTATGCGGACATGCAAAACACACTTACACACACATACATTTTTTCTGAGGTATGCCCCTTAAAATGTTCAGAAACCTTCAAAACGTCGAGAAATGCAAAAATTTTCATTTTCGATTTTCGGCCCATTACTATAACTACCCTACGGAAAGTTAAAAATTTTATTGTTTATATATTAATTTATTTTTCAAGTGTGTTTCTACCTGTAGAATGATAGGATAATTTTAGTTTTATAAAATGTCTTTCAGATTTTAAAAATTGTTGTTGCCGTTAATAAAAATAGCGTTGACGAGACGACAATTGTTTTTTTCGCATCAATAGCACTTTTGGAAAACTTTTATATCTTAAAAGCGTTTTTTTTTAAATAATTCGTATAACGTAAATATGCATTGAGTTTTATGTATTTTTTTCCAGAGTCATCGCAATTGAATAATATAACAATAAGGAAATGATATGCCTTTAAGTAAACAACTCAACCATGGGCTATGGTTATCGACCAGTGGCGGTCAGGGTCGTTTGAAAAGCGGGAGCCACTTAGAAAAAATGCAAGAGGTACCATATAAGGGCACATAAAACACAAAACTGTGTTGTGACAAAAAATCAAACATAAAAACGAAATGTTTTTTAAATCGCAACACCAGACACAGTTTGCCTGTCAGTAGTGAAAAGTAGTGTAGAGTAGTGAAAATTCGGTTTGTGTTTGCGGTCTTTGATATTAATTTTGCCATTCCGGGTCCGAGGACCTCACCTTTACCCTCTGCCCCCATCGTTAATTTTCGAACTGCTTCCTTATCAGCATAAAACGTGCAATCAGCGATTTTTAAACATACACATTATCGACAATTTGAAAATGACGACCCGTTCCACTCGCATAGCTTTCCAGGAAATAATTACGGGTTTGACTCGCATTCAAATTATTATTACATATTACATTATTATTTGTTTATTATATATTATATATTCATTCATTCATTCAATCGTGTTTATTCGAGAGTTGTCATTAGATAGCAAACAAACGGACAATGTATTTTAAATAAATGGAATATAAAAACAAATGTTTGCGGTTGCGTAAACATTAATGTATAGAATTATGCGGAGTGGTTTTGTTATGGGAATCGTAAGTTTGAAAGGAACTAGTGGTGTATCGAGTCTAAAGTTGGTACTGCTGAATTTATGATAAATGATATTTTAAAACGACCGCCCTTTTTCCCCAAGTGGCCAATTGGGATCCCCACTATAGTAGAAGAGAATCGCGTTGCGTGTCCGGCAGCACTTTTGCATTTCTTGCACAACAGTTTTTTTTCTTTTTATTTCTTTCTTTATATTCAGTTAATTTTATTTTTTTCCCTTCTGAACGAATGAACCATTCGCCGTTCTTGTTATTTTTTTCATTTTTTTTTATTTCGTCATTATATATAGATGGCGGCGGTGTTGAGCTCGCCAGTTTAATCATATAGACAGAGCACTGGGGGAAAGATGGTTGAAGTAAAAATCATTCTAATTTTCATCCTTGATCACTTAAATAGTAATAAACCATTTGTATATTAATGAAAAGTACCACAAACTACTATAATTCAAGAAATTCATCCCAGTCATCCGAAATGTGCGTTGTTGCACATCCATCAATCTGCAGATACATTATTCCTCAATAGAAGAAAAATAATAAGTGTGCAGAATAATTAACAGATAGTAATGAACAGTGGTGTTGTCGAGCCGGAACGCGCCGGAACGTCGTTTCGGCAAGAAAAAATATAAAAACATCGCTACATACAGAAAATGATTTAACTAGTTGGGCGCATGGCATCGTGCCTTAAGGCAAATTGCTGGAACTTCCCGTACCAAAAATTATTATTTTTTTGAAAAGATTAACATTTTTGAAAAAAATTTACACTGAAAAAAATAGATTTTCGAGGAACTATATAAATTTTTGACAAAAACTTACCTTTCGTTGAAAAATTTGTTTTGAAATATTTTGGAAATTCTGAACTTTTTTCAAAGCAATCGTACTGCTTTAATGCATAGAGACTAAATATCGAAGCGCGTAAGCGCCGCGTCGCTGTCTAACGCATAAGCATTGGTACGGAACCCATAGGAATGTTAACAAAATGTATACTTATTGTTAAAATCTCTATAAAATATCT